TTGGCACTTTGAACTTGGACTTAAAGCCTCCAAATTGTAAGAATAAACTCCTGTTTGTTAAGGCCATCCTATTTGTGGTATATTCTTGTCAGAGCAGCACTAGGTAACATCAAGATTATAAAGATACTCTGTTATATTTTTGCTTAAATATTTTAAAGTTTTGCTTTTCATATTTAAGGTCTTAATCTATCCAGAATTATTATTTTTAATTTGGTGTAGCATAGTATGCATAACCAATTATCTCAGCACCAGTTACTGACAATTTTTTCCTTTTTTCAGTGATACATAATCCCAATAATATCATATATTATGTTTTATTCTACGTGGGGGTCTGAGACGCTATTCTGCTTTATTGGCTTCTTTGCACATTTATCACATTGTTATCTGACTTTGCCTTTTAGGAGTTGTCCTGGTTGTCCTTTTCTTTGCTTTTCCATATATATTTTAGAATCAGTTTGCTAACTTCCCTCAAAAAGTCTGTTGGCGTTTTTATTGGAATTTAATTGAATTTTATAGAGTTACTTCGAGAGAATTGACAATTTTATAGTATTGAACTTTCTTGTACCTGAATGTATCTATTCATCTGTGTCTTTAGGTCTGTGTTAATGTATTTTCATCAAGCTTAAAATTTTTCTACTTAAATGTTTTTGTGCATCTTTGGCAAGATTATCTTTTTTTTTCTCTTAGGTATCTGGGTACCTTGTGTTGTTGCTGTTGCAGTTGTTAAAAGTGGTGTATTTTCAAAACTATTTGGTGGTAAATAGAAATGCACTTAATCTTTTTATGTTCATTATCTATCTGACAATCTTGTATTTTATGCAAATAATGCACATTATACATTTTTGCCAACCATGTCCTCATCCCCAAGGTGTTTCAATAAGCATGATCTGCTAATTTTTTTTACATGTTGCTGTTGTTTTTTACAGCAACATGTAAAATAATTAGCATAGCATGCTTAGAAAATACCTTGGGGGATGGAGTGGTTGGCAAAAACTATATAATGAGCACATTATTAGGTAAAAATACAGCAAATTATTTTGTTATTGTTAATAAGTTGTAGATTCTTTGGAGTTTCCTATGTAGTTAGCTATATACCATTTGCAAATAATGATACTTTTGTCTCTTCTTTTCCAACTTTTATGCTTCTTAGTTCTTTTTCTTCTCTTATGGTGTTCCTTAGTACTTCTACTACAGTGTTAAGGAAAAGGGATATTGTAGGCATTCTTGTATTGTACCTGTTTTGTAAGGGAATGAATGTTTCATCTTTGAGTATGATGTTTGCTCTAGGTTTTTGCCAGCTTCCCTTTATCAGATTAAGAAAAATTACTCCTATTTCTAGTGTACTAAGGGTTTCTTTGGAGCTCTGGTGGAATAGTGGATAAGGCATTTGTCTGCTTACTAGAAAGGTCAGCAGTTCAAACCCATCAGCTGCTCTATGGAAAGAAGAGGAGGCAGTCTACTTCTGTGAAGATTTACAGCCTGGGAAACCCAATAGGGGTTGCTATGAGTTGGAGTCAACTCAGTGGCAGTTGGTTAAAGAGTTTTTGTGAGGAACAATTGGTGAATATTGTCAGACACTTTTTTTCTGTGTTTGTTGAAATGAATGCTTTTTTCCCTTTATTCTGTTAACCATGATAAATTACATTAATAATCTCAAAAAAATTCATTATATACACACACATGCACACACATATGAATGCATACATACAGTATGTATTTATATATGCATGTGTTTATTCCCAACCCTAACATTTTAGGCTGTCTTTACTGGTTGAGTTTTTTCCTGAACATCTACACCTTCATATTACCAGAAACAGAAGCATTGTAGTGAGTTTCTAGATTTGGCAGAGTCAGAAGTACTAGACCTTTAGATAATGAAGGCCAGAGCTGACAATAAGTTGTTGTTGTTGTTGTTATGTGCCATCGAATCAGCCCTGACTCATAGCGACCCCTCCTTGGATTGCTGAGGCAGTATCACTATGGAAGTACATTGCCCCATCTTCCTTCCAAGGAGTGGCTGGTGGGTGTGAACCGCCAGCCTTCTGGTTAGCAGTCAAGTGCCTTAGAAATACCACCTCAGAAACCCAAGGAGGGGTCACTGAGTCAGATCTGACTCCACTGCAATGAGTTTGGTTTTAGTTTTTTGGGCTTGCAGGGTGGGAGTGGAGCCCTAGAGGCAGTTCTATGAGGGAAGCACTGATCCAGCACAGGGAAGTGAAGTTGTTAAGCCATGCATGTCCTAGTCACACAGCCCAGCTTTATCCAGCTTTGTCTTCGCCAAGGCTGCTTTTCTGCAAAGGAATAATCCATAACTAGCCTTGTCACAGTGATGAGCACATCAATAAATCTTAGCTGCTATTATTTCTATGATCATATTTTCTAAATTAAAAAAAATAATCAGACAAATGGATGGTCTGAAAATGGAGAAAAAGTCTTCCATCTTCACATAATGACCTAGTCTTTGGAACCTAACCACGTGGACAAGTGAGGAGTGGGTATATATGTTTGTGGGGGGGGGAGGTTTGTATAATTGATCTTGACTTAATTTATTTATAGATTAAAAAAAAAGAAAACATTGCTGCCGAGTCAAATCCCACTTGTAGCAACCCCTCCTTGGGTTTCTGAAATAGTATCTTTACAGAAGTAGGTTGCCCAGTCTTCCTTCCAAAGAGTGCCTGGTGGGTTTGAACCGCCAGCCTTCTGGTTAGCTGTCAGATGCCTTAGACACAACACCATAGATAGGAATATTTTATAAGCAAATTAAAAATATTTTCATATTTTCAAGTTATATCTTGGGATATCCATACATTCTTCTTAGATACTGTTTTTAGAACAAAGTAAGGAATGAATGAGTGAGTGAGCAACAGCACAAACAGTAACTTCTCTTATTTCTTACAGGTGCACAGACAAGGTTTACATTTGAGCTGCCAAATCACAGACTGCGTTTTACTTCAAAAGTTTCTGCCACAGATATGTCAACCATTCCTCCTTCTGCCAGTCTTAACCTTCCTCCTGTGACTATGTCAGGGAAATATATAATGGAAGAACATGATAGTTATTCAGATCAGGTGTGGAGTATCGATGAGCTGCCTTCTAAACAAGGGTACTATTTACAGGGAAATTATCTACGTTGTGTTGCAGAGGTAAGTTTACTTTTTTATTTTTTTGCCTTTTGTAATTTAGAAGTCTTCAGGCTTTAAGTGTACCAAAATATTTAGTGATCCAAGTTCTAAAGGAAAATCAGTTATTCTTAACACAAGAAATAATTCTGAATTAATCTATGAGTGTGTGTGTGTATGTTCCTTTAAAGTTTTATGTATAATTTTTTTTCTATATTAGTCATATTGGAATTCACATTTAAATATATACAATATTTTCATGGCCCTTTTAATTATTAAGAACTAAATAGCAGCTAACATTTGTCAAGTGTTTTACATGCACTGACTTGTGTGGCCCTTAAACAACACTATGAATTGAATAGACATTTGTTGTCATCTTTATAAGTGAGGAACCAGAGCCTTAGAGTTTACATGATTTGCCCAGGCATACTATCAACTAAATGTTATGTAAACCAAAAAAAAAAAAAAAAAAATCAAGAACCAAACTCACTGCCATTGGGTCATTTCCAATTCATAGTGATGTTCACTGGATTTCCAAGGCTATAAATCTTTATGGAAGCAGCCTGCCTCATCTTTCTTGCATGGACTGGCTGTGGGTTCAAACCCCCACTTTTGGTTAGCAGCCAAATACCTTAACAACTATACCACTAGAGCTCCTTAAATGCCGTAGAAAGATAAAATAATTACGTTAAGATTCATAGACTAATTTCTATACTAAGGGAAGTTGAAAGTTGTATACCTGATTCCATCATTACTTTTTCACTTTATAATTGTGTAGTGGTCAAAAGTTTAAAAAAAAAGTTTGGATCCATGTTTTTCATTTGATTTGTGATAGGAAGGTCATCTGTTATTATCCTAATTTGATAGAGTAGAAACCTGAGGCTTAAAGTAAACAACTTTACTGTAACCCCCCAACTATCTGGTATGAGAGGAGCCACATGTTGGTGTCCCCTTCTTCTTGGAGCAGGGCTTCTCCTCCTGACACACACTGCCATCTCTCAGCTTCCTTTGTCAATTTGTCAGAAACAATTACAGCCTTATCAAAGAGTGTGAGCTATTTGTTTTATAAATTTTGTTCTTTAGAAGCTGAAGCATCTATTTATTTAAAAAAAAAAAAAAAGTGTACTTTAAGAAGTTTGCTAGGAATATTACAACTGCACCAGAAATTTTGAAAGTCTTATTTAGGCCCTGCTTACTCTCGCACCTCACTAAGAGTTGGGATTTCTGTATGGGGAGATTAAAAAAAGTGCAAGATTCTACAGATTTGAAGCTTTGAAGATAAAATATAAAGCGTATTTCATTTGTGTTTTCTACTCTGAAAAATAAGCTCCCTAAACTCTAATTAGCAGTGCTGTTATTAATGCTTCATTTGACAGAAAATAATCTAATGTGGTATATTCTGTGATTCCTTACTAATACCAGATACTAGGAAGGCACAAGTTTATAACTGGACAGAACACAGTCCTAAATTTAGTATGAATGCAGTTCATTACAAACCATTGAAAGAATCTGAAGTCACATCCTTTTAGAACTGCTGATTTTACTATATAGCCTCATCTAAACACACATGAAAATCATCTCTGCCCTTTTTTTACTACTCTCTACAAAATAAAAGTGCCCTTAGGCTTTATGTAACTTCTTACTGTAGATGTAGACTGCCAAATCTGTTTTGCCCTCTTCTGATCAAAATATGAATCCTATTAAATGTGAGTGTGAAACAGTTAACTTAATCATGAGGGTATTTATTGTATCTTTCCTGTAAAATTCAACTTCAGTTGGGATCTTCTGTTTAATTGATTTATTAACTTATGCTCACCAGAAATTTAATACCTTATATTAAACATAGGACATATGTTTTTTTAAATTGAATTGGGTATATCTGATTTACTAATTCACTCAAATATAAATTTCATGAGTGCTTAATTGTGTTGTGTTTATTCACAGCTCAGCACCTAATGTAATAAGTACATGATTAATAAATATTTGACCAAGTGGAAACATTTACTGTTACTTAAAATACTTGTCCATGGTTCTTAGATCAAAGAGTGGTTATTAAAAACAAATTTTACTCTAGACAAAATTTTAATTTTGAAATTAGTTAGTTGGCAATTTTTAGTCACCCAGTAATACTGTGGAAGAAAACACCTGATAATCTGCTTCCATTAAGATCTGCTTCCATTCCAGTTGGGTACTATTGAGTTAATTTGGATTCACAGCTACCCTGCAGAGTTTTCTTGGCTGTAAGCTTTACAGAAGCAGATTGTCAGGTCTTCTGTGAAGCCACTGGGTAGGTCTGAATCATCAGCCTTTTATAGCCAAGTACCTGACCATTTGTGCCAAGACTGCAGTTAAGAAAACCCTATTGGTCAGTTCTAATCTGTAACACATGGGGTTGTCATTAGTTGGAATTAACTTGACTGGCACCATTACCAACAAAAACATAGTTAAAATATAATTTTCATTAGTTTCCAAAACATTTCTCACACCTTATTGACTACTGGCCCATAACAGTCAGAGGCCAGTAAAGTATCAGGGAATCTGTATATTTTTAATCTTCCTTCAAGGTACTGATTTCAAATGGTATGTACATAATTCTTTTTCCTCAGGGTTTGGGATGATTGATGTTTGAAAAAGGTTATTTATTATAGTCAGTGGTGTTAATCTAAAATTCTGAGTTTTTTTTTTTTTTTTTTTTTGCCATCCCTAAAATTATGCTCAGCATTTGAATCTTTCTTCTTACCCTTTATGGATGAGTTTGTTTTTTTTTTTTTTTTTGGCAGGTTGGTTCCTTTGAACATAATCTCACAACCGATCTTCTAAACCACTTGGTATTTGTACAGAAAGTGTTCATGAAGGAAGTTAATGAAGTAATACAAAAAGTTTCTGGTAAGCTGATCCTGGTACCTTATAGAATAGATACAAGTTTTTATTTTCATGAGCTATATGATGTTCTGTGTATCTGTAGTATTGTCTTGAGTATTTGATCATTCATTTTGATATAAACATTGAGTAACTTCCTAGCAGCTATGCATTTCTTTTCTGGCTTCTGCACTTAGACTCTTTATTATGTTTATCATGTTTAATATACAGATTTAAAATTTATATACTTCAGAGAGTTCCTCTATAACGCCACCTCAAAAAAAAAAGTTTAAAGTATATCTGTTGACAACTAATATTACTCAGGAACAAAAATTAGATAATTATTAAAATTTCTTTATCTATACCAAATGATGACTATATGCTGGCTACACAGTAAATTACTGTTCTGGTTACCTGGTGCCTCTCTGATGAAAAAATGTACCACAAATGGGATGGCCTTAACAAACAGGAGTTTATTCTTACAATTTGGAGGCTCTAAGTCCAAGTTCAGGGTGCCAGGCTCTAGGGGCTGGGTAAAAGCCCCTCAACCTTGGAGTCCAGCTCTGCCTCCTGCTCCTGGCCCACAGGAGCTAGAGGTGTTTCTTCACTCAAACAGCTGCTGGCTGCTGAGGCTGGAAGCCCCAAGGTTGACAAGTAAAAAGGCACAGTCCTTATGTTACCAGACCACATGGCAGGCCATTAGCTAAAGCCCATTTTAAGTCCCAAGGTCAGCAGAGCATGGCAGGCTGCTGAACAACGACACGGCTACATGCAGGGTTGAAGCGTGCCAAAGGTTGGAGACCATTCCCAAGGCTTCTCCTTATATACAGGAAACAGACCACATTCCTAAGGCACCTACTCAGCTGCTCCCAGTAGATTCCACCATGGAGTTGATTACCAGTCTCATCATGGGGAATACGACATCCAGCTGCCTAGCCAAGTTGACATGCAAACATAACCATCACAATTACCTATAGCAACTTTATAATATTTTCACCATACCTCTAAAGTGAATTTCATGTAAGCTTCTTAATTATCACTGATTTATGTTTTAGCATTAAGTACATATTTAATTATGATGTGCTTAATTAATTTTTAACTCGGGAGCTAATGCATTAAGAGGAATTAGGGTGGGAAACCAGTAGACTTTGTATAGCAATTTTGAAGTCAAGTATTTCTGGTATAAAAATAATCGTGTTAAAAAATACACTGGCATCAAGAGGAATTTCCTCCATGCTCATGGATTAATTCATTCATTTAACAAATTTACTGAGTATGTGCAGGCACCATGATTCTTTGTTTTCATGATATTTATTAACTATCCAGAGAGACAAGTTTAAATAAGTATCTAAGTATTCAGTTACAATTTTGATGAGTTCCATGAATGACAAGAACTGGATGCAGTAAGTCTGTATCACAGAAGACCCTGATCTAATTTAAGGAGTCCAAGTGGTGCCTCTACATGGAGAACTTATGCAGGATATGATGTGGTCCCTTTACTTGGTTAAAATCACATAAGAACATTGTCTGTGATGAGAACGTTGTTAATGATATTTAAAACTGGTAACTATTTCTATTCAAAAGATTATTTCAAGACTGGTTTACTACCAAATATGTACAATTAAAAATTAAATAAGTACTCTTACACTTACTAATCTTGTATCTCTCATGGACAGAAACTAGTATTCGAGAGAGTTCGTAGTATCCAGCAGTCACTGTAAGCCTCCATTAAGGTTGTTTTAATGAAAAAGAAAAGGTTTTCCTAAGCTTTGGATTGCAATCAATTAGGAGATACAAGTATATCCCCAGTTCTGATAAAGAATGAATGATGGCAAATAGGATGGGAAATTACTGTTTTAACCACGAAGGTGCACTAATCACAGTGGAAAATAGGAAGATCACTTTATGCTGCCAAAGGCATTTAGTGACTGCACCAGAACTATTTGATCCTGCCTGTAGAGAAACCTAAGAAAAGAGCTGTGGTATAAGTCATGTACGATCTAGTTGGCCACAGGGCTTGATGAAGCATAGGCATTTCATCATACTATCGTGATCAGACAACAGTACTGAAAGGGAATACTTTGAACCCTTGTGGCCTTAGTTTCTCAGTATTCTGATCTCTGTGTTTCTTTCCTACTGACTCTCCTGTAATCTTCTTAGTTGTTTTCCTCATTTTTTAATTTTTTAAGCTATTTTCCTCTTGCTTTTCCTTCATGTTACATTTAGCTTTAAGACATCTTCTATTGTACATTAAAACTTATTGCTCAAATATTTCTTTTAGAAGGATCAGCACAAGCCTGATCCCTGTGAGGCAGAGGTTAAAGACGTCCCAATGTCCACCTTTTCCAAACTGCTGTACCACTTCATCATCTCTAACATCAATCCTCCTTATCCCCTCAGCACTCTCCCTCCCATCTTAATTGAGAAAAAAAAAATTGACTGCCATCAAGTCAATTCTGACTCATAGCAACCCCTTTTGAGTTTCCAAGGCTGTAAATCTTTATGGAAGTAGATTACCCCATCTTCCTTCCATGGAGCAGCTGGTAGATTTGAACTGTTAGCCTTCTGGTTAGCAGTCAGATGCCTTAGGCACCTTGCCACCAGAGTTCCTTCCTTCCCATCTTAGGTTTCCATACCAAAAAAAACCAAACTCACTGTCGTCGAGTCAGATCAGACTCATAGCAACCCCTCCTTGGATTTCTGAGGCGGTATCAGTACAGAAGTAGATTGCCCCATCTTCCTTCCAAGGAGTGGCTGGTGGGTTTGAACCACCAGCCTTCTGGTTAGCAGTCAATTGCCTTAGGCACTATGCCACCAGATATTTCACTCTAATGTCTCAGAACTCACAAACTGGTAAGGAAATGACCCACATGATGGTGGAGGTTAGGAGGCTGGCAAGTCCCAAATCCATGGGTCAGGATTCTCCTCATACACCTGCAGGGGTTGGCAAACACAAATTGGTAGGTCAGATGACTGAGGGTAAGATAATAACAAACCAAATGCAGGATAGGGAGCAAGAGAGAATGACTTTGCCAGCACATTCACATATATACCCTCAAGGAATTGAAGGGTGGTGAATTGAGTCACACCCTCCAACAAGGCAAGACTTAAGACGCATCCCACCTTAAACAAGAATGAAAACAAACAAACAAAAAAAAAACTCAATTCCTTCAAGTCCATTCCAGTGCATAGTGACACCCCACTTTGTTTCCAAGGCTATAAATCTTTATAGAAGCAGATTGACCCATCTTTCTTCCATGGAGTGGCTATTGGGTTTGAACCACTGACCTTTTGATTAATATACAAATGCTTTAAACCAGTACCCTACCAGAGTAGAGGCTAGGATTTATAATACATCACAAAATGGAGGGCTATGCCTAGAAGGCTATGCCATAGTAAGCAGTCCATTTCACTGAACTCGTGTTCACATCAATCATTGACTGTTAGTAAGATGTTATTTTTGAAGAATTTATTTTTTTTTCTTTAATTGTGATTTGGATGAAAGTTTACAGAGTATGGTAGTTAAGGTTGTGTGTCAACTTGGCTGGGCCTGGTTGAGTGGCTGGCAGCTGGTGGTAGTTATTTTATTCCCCATGATGATACTGGCAATCAGCTCCATGGTGGGATCTACCATAGGCAGCTAAGTAGCTGCTTTATGGATATGGTCTGCTTCCCATATATAAGAAGCAGCTTTGGAAATGATCTTTAGTGATGGCATACTTGAACCCTGCATGTAACCGAGTCATTGTTCGGCAGCTTGCCATGCTCTGCCAATCTTGGGACTTTCAGTGGACTTGACTCAATCGCCTGCCATGTTGTTTGGTAACATTGGTACTGTGCCATTTTATTTGTTAACCTCAGGCTTGTTAGCATCAGCAGCCAGTAGCTGCTTGAGAGAAGAGATGCCTCTAGCTTCAGTGGGCCAGGAGCAAGAGGCAGAGCTGAAGCCCAAGGTCGAGGAGCTTTCACACAGCCCCTAGAGCCTGGCACTCTGAATTCAGACTTCTAGCCTCCAAAAATTGTAAGAATAAACTCCTGTTTGTTAAAGCCATCCCATTTGTGGTATATTCATGTCAGAGCAGCATTAGGTAACCACAATACACAGCAAATTCATTTTCCATGCAACAATTCATACACATTTTGTTTCATGACATTGATTTCAATTCCCATAATGCAACAGCTATCTTTCCACTTCCTCCATGTGGTTACCTTTTCCTGTGTCCTCCTTTTCTTTGCATTCCTGCCCTCTGAGCTATCTCCTTATGCAAATACTTCCCTTCTGATCTTCCAGGTAAACTGACATAGACTGGTTTTGGCCATTTTGAATCAGACAACCATATGATCTACTATGCCAGAAATGACAAAGAAGAATGGCATGGCATTCATCATCACAAAAAATGTTTCAAGATCTATTCTGAAGTACAGTGCTGTCAGTGATAGGGTAATATCCATATCCTTCCAAGGAAGACCAGTTAATACTACTACTATTCAAATTTATGTAACAACCAGTAAAGCCATACACAAGAAAATTGAAGATTTTTACCAACTTCTACAGTCTGAAATTGACCAAATATACAATCAAGATGTGTTAGTTATTACTGGTGATTGGAATGTAAAAGTTGAAAACAAAGAAGAGTCACTGGTAGTTGAAAAACATGGCCTTGGTGATAGAAATGATGCCAGAGATCACATGATAGAATTTTGTAAGACCAATGATTTATTTTCTCAACAATATAAATAGGAGCTGTACACATGACTTCATCAAATGGAATACATAGGAATCAGACTGACTACTTCTGTGGAAAGAGGTGATGGAAAAGCTCTATATCTTCAGCCACACAGGGCCAGGAGCTAACTGTGGAATATACCATCAACTGCTCATATGCAAGTTCAAGTTGAAGCTGAAGGCAATTAAAAGAAGTCTATGAGAGCCAAAATATGACCTTGATTATATCCCTCCTGAATTTAGAAACCATCTAAAGAATAGATTTGATACATTGAACAGTGACCAAAAACCAGAGGAACTGTGGGATGACATCAGGAACATCATCCATGAAGAAAATAAACCAAACCAAACCAAACCCACTGTCACTGAGTCCAGTCTGACTCAAAGCAACCCCTCCTTGTGTTTCTGAGGCAGTGTCACTACAGAAGTATATCGCCCAACCTTCCTTCTAATGAAGAAAGCAAAAGGTTATTAAAAAGACAGAAAAGAAAGAAAAAGACAAAATGGATGTCAAAAAAGACTCTGAAACTTGCTCTTGAATGGAGAGTAGCTAAAGCAAATGGAAGAAATTACAAGATAAAAGAGCTGAACACAAGATTTCAAACAGCAGCTTGAGAAGACAAAGTCAAGTATTATAATGAAATGTGCAAAGACCTGGAGGTAGAAAACCAAAAGGGAAAACATGCTCAGCATTTCTCAAGCTGAAAGAACTGAAGAAAAAATCAAGCCTCAAGTTTGCAATATTGAAAGATTCTATGAGCAAATTATCGAATGATGCAGAAACCATCAAAAGAAGATGGAAGGAATATACAGTCACTGTACCAAAAAGAATTGGTTGATATTCATCTATTTCAGGTGGTGACATATGATCAAGAACCAATGGTACTGAAGGAATTGTCAAAAAACAAGACTCCAAGAATTGACAGAATTCACATTGAGATGTATCAACAAACAGATTCTGTGATGGAGGCACTTACTCATCTATGCCAAGAAAGCAAAAACATTTGACTGTGTGGATCATAACAAATTATGGATAACATTGAGAAGAATGGGAATTCTGGAATGCTTATTTGTGCTCATGAGGAACCTGTACATAGACCAAGAAGCTGCTGTTTGAACAGAACAAGGGTACACTGCATGGTTTAAAATCAGGAAGGGTTGTAGTCTTTCACCATACTTCTTCAGTCTGCATGCTGAGCAAATAATCCAAGAAGCCAGACTATATAAAGAAGAGCACGACATTAGGATTGGAGGAAGACTCATTCATAATCTACAGTATGCAGATGACACAACCTTGTTTGCTGAAAGTGAAGATGGCTTGAAGCACTTCCTGATGAAGATTTAACATTACAGTCTATGGTACTGATTATACCTCAACATAAAGAATGTGAAAATCCTCACAACTGGACCAATAAGCAGCATCACAATATATGGAGAAGATTGAAGTTGTCATGGATTTTATTTTACTTGGATCCACAATCAATGCCCACAGACGCAGTGGTCAGAAAAGCAGATGTCATATTGCACGGAGCAAATGTTCAGGGAAAAAAAAAACAAACACCTCTTTAATATGTTAAGGAACAAAGATGTCACTTTGAAGACTAAGGTACTCCTAACTCAAGCTAAAGTATTTTCAGTTGCCTCAGATGCATGTAAAAGCTGGACAATGAATAAAGAAGATCGAAGAGGAGTTGATGCCTTTGAATTATGGTGTTGGAGAAAAATACAGAAAATACCACGGACTGCCAGAAGAACAGACAAATCTGTCCTGGAAGAACTGCAGTCGAAATGTTCCTTGGAAACAAGAATGGCCATTTAGAGTAGGAAATTATGTCTTTCTCATTGGGCAGTCTACTTCCGTAGTGATACCCTCTCAGAATCCCAACCAAGGAGAGGGTTCTCTGTGAGTGGGGTCTGACTTCAGGGCAGTGGGTTTGTTTTTTGTTTTTTTTGTTGTTGTTGTTGTATATTTTGCCTTACCCAAACCATTGTATTTTCTGAAACCTCATATACACATGAAAGCTTTAGAATGAATAAAGAAGACCAAAGAAGAATTGATGCACTTGAACTTTGATCTATCTATTAATATCAGCTCAGAAAAATCCCAGTGCATGTAACAGAGTCCCACAAGGTTCCTTTTTTTTTTTTCCTAAGGGAAAGCAGTTCTCCACTCTTTCCGCCTAATGATTTTAAAGACTCCAAACTCAAACTCTTGCAATGATGTACGTACCATTGGTGGGATACAGGCAGGTCAGGCAAGGACATGGCTTTGGGTTCAGGCACTCAGGCCTGACAGGAAAGCAGCAGTGGCTGGTGGCAGCAGCTGCAGCTGCTCAGGCAGGTGGAACCATGGGTGGGGCCAGGCCTGCTTCGCTCCCTCCCTGCTTGCTTCCTCTTACTCTGCTCCTGCTGCTTCACCAGTTCCTCTGATCTCCAGCTGCAGCAGCAGCAGCAGCGGTGGTGGTGGTGACAAGGACAACTGGAAGTGGGCTCCCGTAAAGTTTTAATATGGTATTCTCACAGTGTGCAAATCACATTAAAACCTATTTCATAGAACATATAGTGGACATTAAGTGACTCATACCTGTATGTGTGATCTGCAGTAGGAAAAAAAAATGCCATCCCATAGATACACAGCCTCACTGGGATGATGCTAAACTCAACATACATAAATAATAATTTGTGGATTGTATTTTTGAAAGATAAGCATGCAGAAAAGTTTTCTCATCAAAGGAAAAAGTAATGGGAATAGAATTTAGAAATTAAAGTGTCAGAATATTGTTTCCTGGCCACCTTGCCTAGACAATAAAATGTTCTGCTGATGAAACTTTGCTGCCTTGACCCTCTCAACCTCTCCTACCAAAACGTGTTTTTTTTCCCCTAAATTTACAGAACATATTTTTGTTGTCACATTCTTTATAATAATAATAATTATTATTATTACACATAGTAACTCTATATTCCCATTGTTACGTTTTCTTCCATTTTGGTTGAAAAAATTAGTTTACTTTTTCCCCTCAAATATTTTTTGGAGTTGTATAATTAAATGGATTATATGTATATCGTTCTAATTTAGTCTTTCTAAAATATTCTTAATATATATGTAGAATTATACCTATACATATGTGTGTTTGTGTGTTTATTCTTTAGTGAAATATAAATTGGCTAAAGATCCTACTAAATATTGGAGTTTTCAAATGTACAAAATAGTTATTTTTCTTTTTGGAGAAACTTTCCCAAATCCTCAATTTTTTAACCTTTCCTAGGTGGGGAGCAGCCTATTCCTCTGTGGAATGAACATGATGGAACAGCAGATGGAGATAAACCTAAAATTCTTCTCTATTCCCTGAACTTGCAGTTTAAGGTAACATAAATAATATTTCTTAAGTGTTTTTCTATTAATTTACATTTGTTATAGAAAATTCTTAAATATAAATGAACCAAATCAAAAATAAAAGTGTTACTGCACCCACTTAGAGAAAAAGTTTAACAACTGGTTGAATGTATTTTAAGTTTTTTTCTATTCATACTCTTTTATATGCATATTTATGTATTATTTTTAATTCTTGGTTACTTTGCCATGTCAGGACATTTAGATTGACTTGTATCTTTTGAACAGCTGTGTTACACAGTTCTCACAGTTTATTTAACTACTCCCCTTCTGGTGAACATTTCAATTTTTAAAAAATGTATTACTCTCATAAATTATTCTGTAAGACATATTTTGTACACTTGTCCTGTTAAAATAGTCTTAATAGAAACCTTAATATGTCTGATAATTTAGTCTTCTTTAAAGAAAAAAATTATTCTGACCAAATAGACATTGAACAGTAATGAGTAATATATTTTACTTGTGAATAGTCTACATATTAAGTACAAAATGCATAAATGAAATTTAATAGCTAAAAAAATATCTACTAATATGAGAATGTTGCAGATTTTCAGCTCATTAGATATATCTTACATGTGTTTTTGGTCTAGTGCTTAAAGCATTCTGCTGCTAACCAAAAGGTCGGCAATTTGAACCCACCTTACTCTGTGGGAGAAAGATGAGACAGTATGCCTCTGTAAAGATTTACAGCTTTAGAAACTCTTTGGAGCAGTTCTACTCTGTCCTATAGGGTCTCTATGAATCAGAATTGATTTAATGGCAGTTGGGTTTGGGTTTTTTTCACACATTGTTTTTAAAACATGACCATTTTATTTATCCTATATTTAAAGATTGTATTTCAGTGGATGGTATATTGTTGTTTTACGATACTCCTTTTGCTCCTAATGTATAATCTTCTAGGGTATTCAAGTAACAGCTACAACACCATCAATGAGAGCTGTGAGATTTGAAACTGGGTTGATTGAACTGGAACTATCAAACCGACTTCAAACCAAAGCTTCACCAGGAAGTAGCAGTTATCTCAAACTATTTGGTAAATGCCAGGTGGATTTAAATCTGGCATTAGGACAAATTGTCAAACATCAGGTGAGTCTAAAACATGTTGATATTAGTAGAACTATGGCTTTTAATTTTTGCACATCAGTATGAACTACTTTAATCTATGTATTACTAAAGTTATAAAAGATTTTAGTTTAAGTTCCTAAAATTTCTGGTTGTAAACTCTATTAATAACTCATGTAAGAAAGCCTTTACAATTTTATCGTGGCATTTCACTAAGCATTGTGGCAGTGTATTGCTATAGTTTAGTACAACTGAAATTTAATCCAGTAGCTTCATAAATATTTCCTTGTATTTTTTCTTGATTTTGTTAAATTTATTTCAATGCCTTATAATAATGTTGCACAGTTCTTAAAATGTTTTTATTAGGTGCACTGTAGAATATTGGCAAGTTTTGCATACCATGATGTTAAAACAAGAGTGAGCAGTTACTCAGATTCTCTATTTTATAAAAATTAAATTTACCAACTCTTGAGGTTTTTATTTTTCTCCTGTTAGCAGTTTTATTTCTTTTTGTTTTTTCTTTGCTAAAATTATTTTATAGATTTAACCTTTTTACCTTTTTGGTTTGAAGACTCAACTAACAGGATACAAGTCACATTTTCAAATATGAATAGCTATCTGTAGTTTATGTGAGGGAAAATGAACAAATTTCTTCTCTCTAGAAAAAGTTGTTTTTTGTTTTTTGTTTTTTTCAAATGGAACACATTTTGAGGGGATGAAGGAGGATTTAATTATTTTAAAATATTTAGCAATACTTGCCCTTCAAATTATGAGCATCACCCTAGTTTTTGTATGAACTTTATCTGTGGTTTCATAATTTACTTCTTTTACACCTATGGATATTGTATATTAATTTCAAAAGTGTATAGTACAGAGTATAGAGATTATAGCACTGACAAAATAAATTGAGAAAAATGTAGTTTTTTTGGTGAACCATACTAGTAATGATGTTATTAACTTTTTTTATTATTAAAATATACTTTCCATATTTGATTTTATTGAGCTTTAAATTTTACTTTAGGTTTATGAGGAAGCTGGTTCTGATTTTCATCAAGTTGCCTATTTTAAAACCAGAATTGGATTAAGAAATGCCCTCCGAGAAGAAATCAGTGGTTCTTCAGATAGAGAAGCTGTACTTATTACCTTGAATAGACCAATTGTTTATGCACAGCCTGTAGCCTTTGATAGAGGTAAGATAAAGTCCATCATTACTGTCTTCTAGGATTTAGAAATTCTTTGATGATGCTGGATAAAGATCATCTGTAGTTATTTTGCTTGATACATAGGAGTGTCTGATTCAGAGCTTTAATTATAATACTAAGTTTTTTGGTTTGGGAAACAGTGGACCCATTTGCCACTGTATTTACTCATTCATTCTTAAACTTTTATTGTGTACCATCTAGAAATAGAAAACAAAGATTAAAAAAGAGACTCTCTGCCCTTAAGGAACTCTTAGTCCAATTGGAAAGAGATAAAGTAAAAAGTGGAGTTAGAGCTGTATGTTCCAGGAGCTGAGGGAATCTCTAACTTTGCCTGTGTTGCTTAGAGGAAGAAACTATACTTAAGATGAGATGTGAAGTTAGGAATTCACCTGAGAAACAAGGAAATGAAAGCTTATCTTATTTACCTTTGTATTACAGAGATTAGAATAGCCCTTAATGTATAGAAAGAACTGAATAAATATTTGTCACATAAGAGAGACAATATGAGTGAATTAAGGTATATGAGCACAGAGTCCTAAGAAAATGTAGCAACGGCTTTCATAGAAGAAAATAATGGGAAATAAAGCTGAGTAGATAGAAGAGGCCTCAGTAATGTATTTTGAGCAAATATGTTTGAATTTTATTTTAGAAGTAATGAGCCATTTATAAAGCTATTTCAGGTTTAAAGTGGGATGGACATAGGCTGATGGTAAGGTTAGAAAATTGCCTTTTTAGCAATGTGATTGATAACATTTTGTTGTGTTGCTAAATCTGGTGCACATTTTTTCATTCCCCATCTTGATAACCTTTCATTAGTATTCATCAACTCTTTAAAGTACTTTTCACTCTTGGCATCCTTGACACACACTCTTTGGCTTTTCCTCTACCTTTCTGGCCCCTCCATCTTTATCTTGTTTTCAAACTCCTCCGTCCGTAACCAGTTACTTCTGTGAGTAGTTCATTGAGTCAGTTCCAACTCTTGGCAACTCCATGTCTCTTGTGGTAGAACTGTGCTCTATAGAGTTTTCCATGGCTGGTTTTTCAGATGGATCACCAGGCCTTTCTTCTGAGGCACCTCTGAGTGGATTGGAACTTGCAGCCTTTTAGTTGGCAGCCAAGCACATTAACTGTTTGCTGCACCCAAATTCACCCTTATAAAAGGGGGTCTGTTAATGTGAACCCAATATGACTTACCAAAGTTAGGAATAAAAATTTTGTGTACATTTAGCAGATGAATCATTTTATTAATAGGGCAATTATTAGTTAAATTAGGGAAAATGCTATGGGTGATGTTTGTTGTATTGCTAAATCCAATGCATATTTTTTCATTTCTCATCTGACCTTTCATCAACTTTTAACAACTCCTTAAAGTACTCTCTATTCTTGGCAAACATCTTACCTCTCTCACCCCTCTATCTTTATCTCCTCTTTAGGCTTCTCCTTCTATTCTCTGACATTGAATGAAGGTTAATCAGGAAATGTGTGCCCTATCTAAAAGGACACAATCAAACTATTAAAAAAAATATCCTCCATTAGACTAAACAGATCAAATCAGTGGTCAAGATCACATCCTCCAGTTTGTGGCCTCTGCACCATGTTCTCTCCCTAGGTGATCTTACTCATGCCCATAACACTTCACTTGCAGCACATACTGCTGTGACTCTTCACTTGCAGCACATACTGCTGTGACTCATGTTTGAGCGCAAGGCTAGAGTATCCACCTACATCCCTTTACACAAATGACATGTACATTATATAGTTTTTTGCAAACCATGCAACCCCTTCACACATTAGTTTTCTATACATGTTATGCATGTGCACATTTATTTATATGGACATGTTATTGTAGGAAAAAAAAATACACTACTTATATGACATCTCCACTTGGATGGTGAAAATGCACCTTAAACCCAATTATGTCTAAAATGAAACTTATAAATGGCACCACTTTCTGTTTAATTACTTAGCTGAAAACTAGGCATTATCCTTGAAATCTCCCTTTCTCTGTATTTTAGTCCATCAGAGTATCATATTAACAGTTAAATGTCTTTTAAATCTCTATACATTTCTCTCTTCTAACTATTACCATCCTAGCCAAATATACTGTCACTTCTCACAAAGCATCTGTCAGTAGCTTCTTTGCATGTCTCCTAGCCCCCACCCTATCTGTTCCCCACACTGTAGCCAGATCTGTTCTTACTGCTACTACTTCTTCAAAAATACAAAAACAAAACACTAACTGATTCCCAGAGCTCTTAGTTGTGGCTTGTGGGATCGTACAAGATCTGGCCCTATTTACTTCCCCCTCCAGCTTATTTCATACCACAGTCTCCGCTACAAGGAGCCCTGGAGATGCAACAGTTAAGTATTGGGCTGCTAACTAAAGGATTGATGGTTTGAACCCACCTAGTGGCTCTTTGGAAGAAGAACCTGCCGATCTGCTCTTGTAAACCTTATGGGACCATTCTACTTTGGCACGTGGGGTTGCTGTGAGTCAGAATCCACTCAGTGGCAACTAACAACAATCTCAGCTACAGTAATGTATTAAGCTCACTTAGCATATACTGCTTTTCAGCCTCCAAGCCTAGTTATTTTTTCCTCTTTGTTGAGACTTAACTTAGGTATGTTCCTCAGGGAATGTTTATATGACCTCTAAATCAAATCTCTCTCATGTGTACTCCTAGCATAAGTACTTCCCCTTCAAGAATTTGTAACAATAGTTAAATTCTGTAAGGAGAAAGACCAAAAAAATAAATTTTCTGAGGTCAGGGACTTTGTCAGTGTTTGTCATTCCATCCCAAGGATTCAACAAATAATTAGTTTATATATATATATATATATATATATATATATATAGTTATATAGTTATATATATATTATTGACTAGATCCTTTCTAATTCTGATGCTACAATCTTCTGGAAATAATTTTATTAATCTTACAGTATTTATTTTAATTTTCTTTCTTCTCTGCCTTAAATTTATCAAAAGCTGTGCTGTTCTGGCTGAATTATAAGGCTGCTTATGACAATTGGAATGAACAACGCATGGCCTTACACAAGGATATTCATATGGCAACAAAGGAAGTAGTAGATATGCTGCCTGGTATCCAGCAAACATCAGCCCAGGCCTTTGGGACTCTGTTCCTCCAACTCACTGTGAATGATCTTGGAATTTGCTTGCCTATCACAAATGCTGCACAGGTAAAAGATTTTTTAAAAATCAAGTCATATTCTAGGATTAAGAGCCAGACGTTTCTACCATCATTTCTATGTATATAGAGTGTGTCGATAGATTTTTCAGGCAAGTAGTTGATAACTTAAGTTCAGTAAATAGCAAGAAAGAATGAACTCCTTTCATTATTCCTCATCTGCAACATTGTAAATCAAAATCTCTGAGATTTTTCTGTGAAATACTCTAATATGCCCCAAAATAGTGATGAGATTGACACCCATCTGATAACTTTTAATTTTTACCTTAGCAAATAAAAGGTTTATTTTTCAAAGTCTTTTTATTGTTTGGTAACAAAAAAGTCTTTGTCATAGACTTGTTTATAAAATGCAAACAAAAGGGCATTTGAGAATACTATTTAACAATCTTTAATAACCTCACCTATAATAGGACAGGAAATGCCAAAACACCCTTAAACTATAATATTTAATGGTAATGAAACTTTCAAGCTATGTATACAGCTGGTTAAGGCAAGGATTTTCATAATTTAGGACCACATCTCAGGAATATGTATTTGATGCACATTTGTATAAGAAAGAAAAGACTATGTATGAGTCTTTGTCAGGCCAAGAAGTAACAATTTTAACAGTAAAATACAGATACCTATATTTTACCTTAGAAAATCTGTAACCAGTTGTTGAATGAGTTTAGTATTTTGTTTGGTAAGACAGTGTTAAGAAAAAACTGGTAGTATTTGTGTCTTAGGGATTCAAAAATGGTGATAAGTTTTAATGGCATTATGGACAGGTTTCAGAAGTTATATACCAACAGTGTATATCAAAGCGAGAGTCCCATGACTAAAACACAGGTTTGGGATACAATTAGCCCTTTGTGAGTTTAGTTTAAAAAAAAATGGCAAATGCATTTCACTTGATTAATTTTTAAAGCAGGTATCTTCCTAAACTGCTTTCTTATGAAGATATTGAGGCTTGACCCTTCATAGTTTTTTGTTCCTTTCAATCTGTGAGGTCTTTCCAGACAAAGTAACCTCACTTTTTGTCTTATTCATTTAATATATTTTGCAGTCTAATCACACTGGAGACCTTGATACTGGCTCTGCTTTGGTTTTGACCATTGAAAGTACTCTCATCACTGCTTGCTCTTCAGAGTCTCTGGTTAGTAAAGGACATTTCAAAAACTTTTGTATCCGTTTTGCTGATGGCTTTGAGACGTCGTGGGATGACTGGAAACCAGAAATTCGTGGGGATCTAGTGATGAATGCCTGTAAGTGTCTTTTGTCTTTTATTTTATAAAGCAAAGGAAAAAAAAAAAACAACTCACTGCCATCGAGTCGATTCCAACTCCTAGTGACTCCCTTTGGGTTTCCAAGGCAGTAAATCTTTACTGAAATAGATTGCCCAGTCTTTCTTCCACAGAGTAGCTGATGGGTTCGAACCACCAACCTTCTGGCTAGCAGTCAAATGCCTTAGGCATTATGCCACCAGAGTTCCTTATGACATAATGTTTATTTTACATGGGAGGTTTAAAAAAATAATAGTCTTCGTTTGTGAAACTAAAGGATGTTCAGTTATAGGAATGTTTTTCACTTTTGTGAAAAAAAGCTATTTCTAGTTAAAGATATCAAAATGTATTTATGAAAAAACGTAGCTTTCAGTAGTCTAGGTAAATAATGTTGCACAAATAAATAAGGCGTTCTTTTTGATAGTATAACATTTGAAGATTTGCTTACTCCCTGATTTTCCCTGTAAGCAATTAATGAATGATCAAAACATCTTTGTTCTATGGGGATCTTGAAAGAAAGTGATGTGTAAGAAAGAATATGTAAGACCCAGTCATCACATAACATAAAACAAGTTATAAGTAACCAGGATCAAGAACCTCATCCCCAATAAATAAACATAGATCTCCAAATCTGTAGGAGTACAAAGTGTAACTTGAGGGAATTCTTCCAGTTCCATACTACTCAAGATTATGAATAGCTAAAGTTATTCTTATATGCTATTTTGAAAGAATACAAAAAAAAAAAAAGAAAACTGCCATCGAGTTGATTCTGACTGATAGGGACCCCTATTGAGTTTCTGAGGCAATGGAAGTAGATTGACCAGTCTTCCTTCATGGAGTAGCTGATGGGTTTGAACCACCAATCTTCTGGTTAGTAGTCAGATGCCTTAGGCACTGTGCTACCAGAGCTCCTTATTTTGAAAGTATAGGGTTTATTTATGTTACTATGTTTAATAATATGGTAGAATTGATACAGTAATCATTAATCCTAATAATAAAGGAAGCTTATATTTGAGGAATTAAATGGTTGTAACCTATGATTCCTGAACCTATAAGCCAAAAATTAATACTTAATTAGTTGTTAGAAGGTGGTATGTTATTGTTTGCACTCTTCCCCATCCCACCCCCCACTCCACTCTACACCACCAGAGCTCCTTAAAAGAAACCAAATAACTCATGCCTAATTTCCAAAAAGAGCCTTCTTCATCAAAAGACCTCTACAAATTTTAAACTATGGTACATATATACAATGAAATATGCAATGTTGAAGAATAACAATGAATCTGCTAAACACCTCATAAAAAAAACTTAAAACTTAATCATTCAGTGTTAATTAAAACTTCAATAAAATTATAGGTGATATTACTAGTTTGTATACTTTACATTTATATTTTTCAGTGATAAAAATAATAGAATTTCTTTGGAATAATTAAGGTTACTAAGAAGACTAAAAGCCAAATAAATAAACAAACAGACAAAAACTCACTGATATCAAGTTGATTCAGACTCACAGCAACCCCCATTGGGTTTCCAAGGCTGTAAATCTTTATGGAAGTAGATTGCCTCATCTTCCTTCTGTGGAGCAGCTGGTGGGTTTGAACTGCTAACGTTCTGGTTAGCAACCAAATGTCTTACCTACTACACCACCAGAGCTCCTTAAAAGAAACCAAATAACTCATGCCTAATTTCCAAAAAGAGCCTTCTTCATCAAAAGACCTCTACAAATTTTTATCCAGTTGTGTTATATATGTTCAAAAAAGTCACTGTAATTTATGTATTTTTTCTTAATATGAGGCAAAAATGAATTTAAACCTACTGATTTTTATTAAGGTGACATCTTTGTTATCACTGTATGTATTAAAATATCTTTTGAAGCAAGGAAACTATACTATATTTCCTTTATAAATTATTTTAAAGGGAAAATAATAAGAAATATTAGGTAATTTTGAGTCTATGATTCTCAGTCAAAAATATATATTAGAAATACAAACAAATAATAACACACCATCTCAGTATATATTCTGCCAACAAAGTAGAACACTACCATGCTGATAATGTTATTCAAAATAATATAGTTTGAATTTTAGAGGGTACTAATTTACTTTTTTGTATCATGGTTTTTTTTTTTTTTGGTTTCTGCAGCAAGGGTCATGGCAGAGGTGAAGAGAGTAGCTGTTTCATTGGCTTTATTGGAATTCCAAAATGTAAAATAGATTAGTTTTCATTCTCTGATACTTCTTTAGAGAAAAAGTCCTAAATGTTTTCTACCATGTTTCTATTTAATCTTCAGTTATGCTACTCACAGTTTTCTGTTCATTCTAGAATTTCTGAATTTCATAAGGAATTCTAGGTTTCTTTTGTTATTAATTGTAATCGTGGCTGTAAAAGTGAATCTTCTGCCCCAAAACTAGATCTAGTTCTTTCTTAGTTTAGAATCTTCTCGTGTCAGAAACAGATTCCAGACAGTTAAAAATATCATTTGGATTTTAAAGTAATTATCTATCTCTTTAAAAGCTACATAACAGAAATTGTCACTTAATAACAAATAGACCTTTTCTTCCAAACTGAGTTGTAGTTTTTTTAAAATTGAATGGATTTTTCCAATTTGAAAATAAGAAAAGACAAATTTAATGCCAGTACTACTTAGGAAATGAATAGCTACCTCAAATTGAATAATATTTGAAGACTAATTTAGGATTCAGTGAGAATTAAAAAAGGACATTTCATTAAAGACATGTATATTACCAGTTTTATATTGATATTGGGTTTCAATTAAGCATTACTAAGAAAGATTATTAATTCTGTCTTTAGACTTTACTTTGTTTGAAAGTTTTATCAAGGATAGTATGCCATTTACCATTTAAAATTGAATTTAATCAATCTCTTTTTTGAAGCTGAAGTTGTCAAATTAAAACTAAGTTATAGTAAATGTTTCAAAGTTACAGTCAGATATGTTCTAAGGGTAGTTCCCTAACTTTATGAGATTGACATCATGGCAGTTGATCATTTTCTCACATATGTTCATTGTCAAAGAAGACAGGAATGGTGAATCCTGATTCTGACCTAATGTGGCAGTCTTAGTTATTAAAAGGTCATTTTAAAATCATTTATATTCTCTAAGTATCACTCACTCATGATGGTGAGATAAAATCATAGACTAAGAGCTCTGGTAGCATAGTGGCTAAAAGCACTTGACTGCTAACCAGAAGGCTGGCGGTTCAAACCCACCAGCCACTCCTCGGAAGGAAGGTTGGGCAATCCTACTTCCGTAGTGATACCGCCTCGGAAACCCAAGGAGGGGTCGCTATGAGTCAGGGCTGACCCAACGGCACATAACAACAACAACAAAGAAGATATTGTGAGATACAGAGTAGATTTTGGAGCCAGCTAAGGTAGCCTTTTCATTTTGCAAATTAGGAACTGAGACCTAGAGAAGCAGTTTGTGTTTAGATAATAATCTTCAGGTGAAAAATTGTAGTTCACTATTTAATCATAGCTTATTTCTATTGAAAACTAATTTTGGGTGATTTTTGTGTAGGTGTAGTTCCAGATGGTACCTATGAAGTATGTTCAAGGACAACAGGACAAGCAGCAGCTGGTAAGTTCACATACAGTTTTACTTTGGCAACATGTCAGGTAGAATTCTGCCCTTATTTTGATGGTCCAAGGATCTTTTAGTTAAGCTAATTCTAATGTTTTGTGCTTTTTAGAACTATTTGGTAATATACTTGAACTTTTTGTTTATTCAATAGTTATACTATTAAATGTTTTAGGAAAAACAAAGTTAAACTTCCTACCCTCAATAAATTTAGATTCTGATAATGTAATTAAGGCACATGCAGCAGAATTACACTGGAATATGTAATAAATACAGTGAAATTCAAAATGCCACCAAAAAAACAAACTAAACTCACTGCCATGAAGTTGATTCCAACTCATAGTGACCCCCTTGCATTTCTAAGGCTATAAATCTTTACAAAAACAGACCACCTCATCTTTCTTCCATGGAGTGGCAGGTGGGTTTGAACCACCAACCTTTTGGTTTGCAACCAAATGCCTTAACCACTGCACCACCAGAGCTCCTTATAAAATGCCAAATGATATTGAAATTTGCAGGAATGTAAGAAATTTTCCAAATATGAGAGTATTCTGGGATCAGAGAAAGGCTTCATGGAAAATTGAGTGTTTAAGGACTCAAAGGATTAGATAAGTAATATATTTCTTAACCTAAAACTAGAAAATATGGGGCAGAGAAAATTCAGGCAAAATATATCAGTCTTGATGTCAAAGTACAGTGTCTAGTCTAAGTAGTCCAATTTGGCTAGACCAGAGTTGTGTAGAAAAGTATAGCATTTCAGAAAAATCTTAAATGTCAAAGTATGGAGTTTGTATTTGACTTGGTGGACAGTGGGAAGACACTGAACTTTTTTTGAGCTATAGGGCAGTTGATAACACTATCAAAAGGACAACTTCAAGAATTGGGAGGTGTGGGAGACCTAGGAAAACAGAAGATAGGTATAGAAAATAAAGTAGGTCTTCACTAAGGTGATTAAAAAAAAAAAAATTCACTGTCATCGAGTTGATTTTGACTCATAGCAACCCTCATTGGGTTTCCAAGGTGGTTCAAACATACCAGCCACTCCTCGGAAGGAAGATTGAGCAATCTGCTTCCATAGTGATACTGCCTCAGAA